CCCTGGAGTAGAAACTCTACATTAGCATACTTACCCATTTCAATTTTGCAAGCCAGAATGCTGTGCTGGTGAAAGTAAAGTATGTCTTCGACAGCATTAAAGGTTTGAATATCCCAGAAGCCATCAGTATTCAAGCCAGCAAAAAACTTGCCATTTTTTACAGCTGGTCTTCCTGATCTCCAGTGTGTATATGACAGCGTGGTCTTATCAGACCACATGAGAGAATTATCTAGAAAAGAAACACTTTTTTCTATGCTTAGAGATTAAATCAAGACTTGAATTACACTTATGAGGTTAATATTTCAAACTCAACTAATTTTCTTTCTTCTTTTACCACCTTCTAAAAGGTTGTATAATTATGTGTATCCCTCTAAAATATTTTCTAATTATAACAGTAAACCATGCTTATTTTTAATATAGAAAGTATACATTATAAACATGAAAATTAAAATTTACTTATCATTCTACCATCCTGAAATAACTTTACATTTTGTTATTTTTTTCATCCAATATTCATTTTTTCCTACATATATGTTTAATTGTAATGGAGATTAACATAATTATTTTATTTAAAAAATTAACATATATAAAACTAGTGATAGAAACCTCTTTTCTGGACCTAAACTGTGCACAATTTATGTCGATTGATTTTTGACAAGGGTGCCAAGACAATTCAATGGGGAAAGAATAGTTCCTGGGACAACAGGATATCTACATGCAAAAAAAATGAAGTTGGACCTTCTCCTTTCACCATACAAAAAACTCAGAATTGACCACACACCTATATGTAAGAGCTAAAACTATAAAACTCTTAGAAGAAAACACAGGAGTATGTCTTCACAAGCCTAGGATAGGCAAAGTCGATAGACACAAGTGATAAAATAAAAAATAGACAAACTGGGCTTCATTAAAATTTTTAAAGTTTTTGTGCTACAAATTATACTACCAAGAAAGTGATGAGAGAAAATATTTACAGATCATATCTTTGACAAGGGACTTATATCCAGAATACATTTAAAAATGCTTAAAACTCAATAATAAAAAAGACAAATAATTTAAAAAATGGGAAAAGGATCGGAATATATATTTCTCCAAAGATAACATACAAATAGTCAATAAGCACACGAAACGATGTTTAATATCATTAGTCAATAGGGAGATGAAATAAAAACCTCAATGAGATACCACTTCATACCCACTGGAATGGCTATAATCAACACAACAGATAAAAGCAACTGTTGGCATGATATGGAGAAACTGGAACCCCTAATGGAAAATGGTACAGCAGCTTTGGAAAACCGTCTGTTAGTTCTTCAAAGGGTTAAACAAAGACCCAGCAATTCCACTCCTAGGTATATACCCAAGAGAAACAAAAACATATACCCACATAAAAACTTGTACATGAATGTTATTCATAATAACCAAAAAAGTGAAAACCTAAATACCCATCAACTAATGAATGGATAAATGAAATGTGGTATATCCATACAATGGGATATTATTCAGCCAAAAAAGGAATGATACTTGCTACAGTGCCACATGCATAAACCTTGAAACCATTATGCTAAGTGGAGTAAGTCAGTCACAAAATAGTCATATATTATATGATCTCACGTACGTGAAATGTCTAGAGTAGGCAAACTGTAGAGACAGAAAATAGATCAGTGGTTGCTGAGGGTTGGGAGAGGGGATGGGGAATGAAGAGGGACTGCTAAATGGGTATTGATGTTTCTTTGGGGGACAGCGATATTTGCACAACCCCGTGACTATACCAAAAGCCACTAAATTGTACACCTTAAATGGCTGAATTGTATGCTACGTGAATATACCTTACTAAAGTTTTTGGTAAAACAAGTTGCTAGGCCTATTAAAATTATGAATTGGTATGAAGAGTGATGTCATTATTACCTACACATACTCCTTGTGGTCCTGGTTATTTCTTCCTTTCACTGATTACCATCTCCCAAGGCATTCTACCTAAACATCTGCCTGCAGCCATGATACACAAGAAATATGGTACATATGATTTGGCTCTTGCTTGCTGCTTTATATCACCTCATGTCTTTTGAGTCCCTCTCTCCCTCTCCCCAAATGTTAATAAAGTAACAATATTCTGGCCAATGCGATGGGCAATGGTATATTTCTAAAGCTGTCATAACAAAAGAGTCACTTTTTCACTTGGCTTGAAATATCAGTTGACACATGGCTTCTCTTAGTAATTTCTATTCGTGGCCCTACTTTTGAAGAGTCAGAACTTTAAAAAAAACAGAATCCTTTGTATAGGTGGTATATACAATTAAATAGTATTTAAGCATATTTAAGTGATAAAAAACCGCTATGGATATAAATTAAGCCAGTAAGAATTAGTTTTAAGCCAAATTTACTGTTTGCTGGAAATATCTTTCTGTATGTCTCTCATATGTCTGTATATTTTAATAGAAGTTTTGTTACAACTACATTTTATAAAAGAAGATGATTAAAAGAAAGCCTACAGATCTGAAAATGCTTTTCAGAATACAGAATACATTTTCAGTTGTTTCTGATAATATAACTAACAAAGTACAGCAAAGGGTACAATTGAAATCTCTAACTATATCCTGGGTATAGTTTCTGTTGCTCCACATGGGATCACTGTTTCCTCAGTCACTTTCAGGTAAAGCCTGGGAACTTTCTACCTAGTTCCTCTCCATTTTTTTCCATTCTTAAATTTAAGAGTGTTCAAGCATCATCAGAGAAAAGAATTGGGCAACTAAGTCCTACCATGATGAACTCATCTTCAGCTGGCAACCCAAGTCTTACCCATTACTTGATAGCTTAATTTTTGTTAACTCATCTGCAAGCCATAAACATTTAAGAAAAACCTGAGTAATTCTAAGAAAGAGACAGGTTAGATAGCAAAGAGAAGACTATTTTTAAAATGGTCAGATTTGAGTAATTAAGTTTCTTTGCCTACCCTACCTCTAGCTATCATTGTCCTGTGCCCCTTATTAAGCCCCTTTTTTGGGGTGAATGTATGATTTTGATGCTTTATGCCCACACAGTGATTTTTTTTCTAATTCCAAAACTTTATGATTTTCAGGACACCTCTAACTGAGTATCTTTCTAAATTGGTCTTATTTCCCCTATTATTAGAGTCTGTGTTTTAAAAAATTTTTCATAGCAATTATATCTTGAATTTGTGGCATTTGCAATCTCAAATATTCTATCCCATTGGCAGACTATGTGTCTCATTTTTCTAGTGTATACACCAAGCCAATGATATAAAACCAAAGATGCAACATTAGTAGAAGTGTATTTCTGTTCTCACTCATCCCACATACATAGAGATATAAAGTAAGTATTGGAGATTTATGCAGGAGTGCAGTCATGTACTGCTAGGAGGGAGGGTGAAGAAAGGAAATTATTTTCCACCATTTAACTCTAAGCTTGGTGGTAAAGGCATTTTAGTGGCAGAGCAGAGAGACAAAAACTGTCTTGGTATTCGTATTAAGTTATGCTAAGTGCATAATTATAATTTTGTATACTGATTAACATATACTCTGAAGAATATACTTTCACAGCTCGATAAACAAGTAGTTTATAATGAACTATGAATATAAATAGTGAAAAACAGTAGATTTACAACTTACTTTCATAAGTTATACCTAACATGACCCATGAAGCCATGTAATTGTAGTGTAGAAGCCGCTCAAGAACAAAGTTATTCTCTTTTTCATCTCGAATACTCAGAATATGTGATTTTGGATCTGTTAAATAAAAAAGAGTCAATAATTTAAAGAATTAATTATTTAGAACACTTTGATAGATTTAGTAATTTTTATTTCCCAGTTTAACACACTCCAAGACTTAAACAATAGTAGAAAATAAGAAAGACATATAAATTAAAACTATCCTGTTGTACTAAATGAATAGGTTAAAACATTTTCAGACATTTTTTTTTTTTTTTTTTTTTCAAGATAGACCTTTTTTTTTTTTTTTTTTTTTTTTTTGCAGTATGCGGGCCTCTCACTGTTGTGGCCTCTCCCGCCGCGGAGCACAGGATCCAGACCCGCAGGCCCAGCGGCCACGGCTCACGGGCCCAGCCGCTCCGCGGCACGTGAGATCCTCCCGGACCGGGGCACGAACCCGCGCCCCCTGCATCGGCAGGCGGACTCCCAACCACTGCGCCACCAGGGAAGCCCCCATTTTCAGACATTTTGATCTTAACTTTGGTCTCACAGAATAGTGGAAAACTAGTAGCTGAGAGGAGAATTTGAAACATTGATTCACTTTCCTTTTCCCCATTTAAGGCTTATTCTGAGTTGGTACAAATCCACCTATATTAATGACACACTGTCAAAGACTATAATAAATAAAAACCTCTTAGATGGGCTAAAAGACAGACCTTCCTTTTCCTTAGCGATGACTGTTATAGCAGCATTTTAAAAGTTTAATATTTCCCAAAGTGTGTTCCTCGGAAAAGAGCTACATTGAAAAAACTTTACAAATTTTGGTTAACCAAAAGTAAACTAGTTCATTCATGTCAGTATTTCTTAAAGTATATGCTAATGCACATTTGATAATGTTTAAAAGGAAGTGAAGATGTGTGGTATTTCTCACCCTTGTTCTTTAACTAAGGATCTTTTTCTTTACAGAACATCTCAAGGGTAGTGTTCCACAGAACATACTTTGGGGAATAATGGTTTGATATTTTCCATAGGAACTTCCTACAAAGTTGATGGGTCCATTGTTCAAAAGTCACAAATCCTCAGTGGATCTCACAGGAAATATCTGGAGAGTCCTGAGAGCTGAAAGTATGAAATATGTATTTCTTTTAAGCAGAGCTGCTTCTTTCTGGCTTATCTAAGTTTTCAACCACTCAAACTGGCCTATTTTCTCTTTGCCCACAGCCTAACTTGATTTAATATCCAGCTCTCTGCTCTCTAGTGTCATTTCTTTCTCTTTTTAAGTAGAACCCATTTATACATCTAAAGAGAGACTAGTTCCCTAATGGATGGGTAAGAAAGGAGATAACTCCTATACTTTCCATTTGAACTAAACACAAGTTTTAATACTTTGTCATTGATAATGTAGAAATTAGGAGATGAATATTTTTGAGTTCTAGTTACTAGCGCTAATTAGAAATATTTATGGAATATAACACACTCAGATGAGATTTGTTTTCTAACGAGCATAATGCAACATATAATGGCCATACAACATACTCACTCAGTGTCTGGCATTTAGAATGAACTTCATCTTGTGTTGTCACTATATATCTATTCTTTGTTATCATGAAATTGTAGCAAGAGTTCTGAAATGGTATCCATGGAGTATTTAGAACAGGAGACGGACATCGAACACTGTTAACTGGTTTGACCTCTTTTTCAGTCTCATCTAGAAAAAGAATTAATGGTAAGAATTCTAACTTCAGATATAAATGTTAAATCCTGTTCATCATAATTAGACTTGATTTGTAGGAAATATTCAGGAAGCCAAGAAATAATAGCCTGGTGATGCTTGTTCTGTTTATGCTCAAATAAAATGTGACCTCTTAACTGGCTTTCTGTAGGAAGGAAATTATTTAATACAATTTTCTTTTCCCTGATGTGGAATGAGTAGAAGAATGTGGAAAATGAGGTGTTATTAGGTTAAATGCAGTTTCTATCTTCCTGCATCACCAAACTTCTAATACAAGGGGCCACTTCAGAGAAACTATACAAACATAATAATAGGCACCTAAATATGACTTTGAGAATTCATCTTCAATTTTCTGGTTACTGATATCTTCTCTAACTTTAAAAGAACATTTTATGAAATACCTGATGTTCTAAATAAGTTATTGCTTTAACCAAAGCAAACAGAAATAATTTAAAATCTGACATCTAGAAAAATCTGAATTCAGCATTTTTTTTTCATTTTATGAAAAGGCCACAGATTCAAAAAGATGCAAATAGAGATATGCTCTATTCAAAGCCAATCAAACTGATCCAACACATGGTAGAGACTATGCAATATTTCTCCCAGCTCACAGCAACTCCCTTTGCAAAGCAGTCTCTTTTCTAACCACAAACCCACAAATGTGGGCCCCTGGAAGCTGTAAAACCACCTTCCTCCGACTGGGCTAGAGACGGCATATCTGACTGAAGTTGAGTCTAACAGATTCTCTCTAATCTATCAGATTCTCTTCAGATTTGAAAAGTGGAATTCAGAGATAGTCAATTCATCTCCAGTTGCGGCTAAAATTGAAAGCTGCAGAGCTGCTATGTTTCACCATGTGCAGAGAGAAGCAGGAAGTGCAGAGAGAAGCAGGAAGTGCAGAGAGAAGCAGGAAGTGCAGAGAGAAGCAGGAAGTACATAAAGAGAAGAGTGCAGATCCACTGAGAGAAACAGAAAGGAGAGGTGCAAGACAGCATCTCTGGCTTTGAGATCCCCTCTCCTCGGGAGGCTCAGCTCTATCCCCATTTCTGAGGATCTAAATTTTCCTTTTGGCTTAAGCTAGCCTGAGCTAATTACTGTTAGCAACCAAATGAATCTTAACAGTGACTCATAAAAGAAATGTTAAGCATTGATGATAAGAATTACAAAAGAATTCCCACAAATGCAAGTTTTCCATAAGAATATAAACACAAAATGTATGCAAAATGAGGCTAACAAGGACTTAAAACTCAAAGGTCAATTACTATCATCAGGTGACAAAAATAAAGATAAAACATATCTAAAATAACAAATTAATGACAAAATATTTAACATATAATAATTCTCCTCAAATACAAATTTTCACAACAGATTTTGTTGTAAAAAGGACATGATTATAATTGCTTTATAATTCTAAAAACCAGATTTTACAAAACCATTTCCTCAAAATTCCACTACTCATGAGACTGATAATAATTTAAGAATTAAAATATTTGAAATTTGCATACTTCCTGAATAATAGCAAATAGCGCCTGGTTGATTATTATCGCAGTCAGATGTTTTCCAGAATCCATCAGTGTCTAATACTACACAGTCTTCAAGTTGTGCATTATTTTCAGCCCAGCGACTAAATTGGAGATGTTTCCCATCTGACCAACCAAAGTTGAGTTCATCCTGTATGGAGCAGAAATATATCTTAAGTGGTTATACTTCATGTTATCCCTATTGTATGATTTTGACCCTCGTGGTTGATCTAATAATTTTAAAATTTGTTTTATTTTACTTATTTATTTTTGGCTGTGTTGGGTCTTCGTTGCTGCACAAGGGCTCTCTCTAGTTCTGGCGAGCTGGGGCTACTCTTCATTGCAGTGCGTGGGCTTGTCATTGTGGTGGCTTCTCTTGTTGCAGAGCATGGGCTCTAGGCATGCAGGCTTCAGTAGCTGTGGTGCGTGAGCTCAGTAGTTGTGGTGCATGGGCTTATCTGCTTCGTGGCATGTGGGATCTTCCCGGACCAGGGCTTGAACCCGTGTCCCCTGCACTGGCAGGTGGATTCTTAACCACTGCCCCACGAGGGAAGTCCCCAATCTAATAATTTTTAATTTTATCTTATGTTTAGCACATATTTACACAGCACTTACTACGTACCAGGCATTGTTTTAGGTACTCTGCAACTATTATATAATCCTCATAACAACCATACGAGATAGGTACTATTATTATATCCATTTTACAGATGAGAAAACTGAAGTCATGTAATGTGCACAGTCACACAGAATGTAAACCACAGTGCTGGGATACAAATCCAGGCCATTAGGCCCTGGAGTCCATGGTCTGAACCATTATGCTTTGCTGCCTCACACATAATTGGAACCATTGGTTGTTGGAAATCAGAAAGCTAAAATGGAGTGAGGACCACTGTAAGCTCTGATTAACTTAGAGATAATATGTAGTAGTGGAAAGAACACGGGCTTTAGAGCTAAGCGTACCTAGTTTTGAATTCTGGTTCGGTCACTTGTTAGCTTTTGATTGTGGCATTACCTTGCCACTTTTCCATCCCTCCATCTATTAAGTGGATGTGACACTTAATTTCATGGGGTTGGAATTAATGGGATAACGTGTAAGACACATAAGTCAGTGGCTATCTGGTACACAAGAAGAGCTACAGAGACGTCAGCTCCCTTCCTCTTAAACCTTCAGGCCCTGGGGATCTCACACCACCCTTTTCACATGTCTTTGAAGAGAAACTTCCTTATTCACTACATTCTATTTTGCGCTAGAAGTCTGTGAACATCTATCTTTACATCCTGACAAGGGCCCAACCACCCACCTGTCTTGAGAGAGGCTTTACAAGGTAGGTACAGATGTGCAGGAGATGGATTGTGAAGTACAGGCCTGCCTGAATTTTCCTATGGTGCTGCCAGAGCACCAGCCCTTCCACACTGACCCACTGAGCTATGCTTTCCTGAGGCCTGGGGCAATTTTGCATCACTGGTTTATTTGGAACATTGGGCCAAAGGCCACACACAGTCTCACGGTCTCCTTAGTGAACCAAAAATAGCAAATGTGGTCAAAACTCAACACCACCAACTGTTTCATTCAGAAGTGTTCTCTACCAGTGTTCCAGTTGTAAACTTATGGCCAGTTAATCTCTAAACCAAGTGGCCTCAAATGTGGCCCTTTGCCCCTGTGATGTTGCCTGTACTGAGTATTACCCTGGATTCCTTCCCCCTTGTTGCACTCCCAACTAACCCAGGTCCCTGGGCCTTTGGAACTTCTGTTCCTTGTAGATAAGTCATCCCACTCCCACCATCTCTTTACTGAACACTAAATCTCTTTATTAAGACTATAAGTATCGCTTCACTAAATTCTAGACCTTGATTGATCTTAATTAAAACCTGTCTTTTCTAATAGAATAAGTTCCTTTCAGCATCCACAAGGGAAGGCTGCTTGGTTTTTTTAGTCTCAGATATCACAGAGCCATGAGAATGAGGTAGTGGGTATTTTTATTTCCTTCAGTCATTTCCCTTGAGGTTTATGCCCTTCTTCTCTGACATTCACTGAGGTCTTGGCAAACTCCCAGAGTCCTTCCGTCTCTCTGACATTCACTTTGGTCCTGGCCCCCTTGCTCCTTCCTGATATTTACTAAGGAGGCGTCCCATGCCTTGCTGTCCTCCTGGCCCTACCACTGACTTAGGGACGCCTATGTTCATGTGGATGACTCACCCCGTTCCCAAGCCTTCTTGACTTCCTCTTCTATGGACTTTCAGTTCTATGTACTCGAGTGACCTGCTCTCACAGCCACACTTCAGACCTTCTATAACCCAGAACTGCTGTACTGCAGACACTGTAAACATGCCTCAGTCCAGACCAACATCATTTCCTGCATGAATGTCTACAAGAAACTCTAACTGGTCTTCTATCTCTGGACTGCTCACTTCCTTCCCCAGCTTCTGCCCAGCATAGTTTTTCTCAAGTCAAAATCTGATACTGTTACTACCATGTTTAAAATCTTTCAAAATCTTCCCATTGCTTTCAATGTAAAGTTGTATTTACTTACACTCTGCCATGTTCCAAAGATTTCAGGCAGCTTATAAAGATACATAAGAAAGAGCTATGTAAAATTTAATATGTTAAAGAGCAAAAGAGAAAAGAAAAACACAGGTGACGCCTGAAAATAGGATAAGAAAGAAGACCGAAATCATCAAGTGGGGAAAAAAAGTTACAAAACTGTATGATCCGAAGTGTCTTGAAAATAAATACATGTACATAGAAAAATAACTTGAAGGATATATACCAAATATTTAAACCACATTTATCACTAGATACTGGGATTATAGGTGATTCCAATTTTATTCTTTAAATTTATTCTAACTTTATGATTTTTCTCCAGAGACAATACTGCTTTTGTTTAAAAAGGTTTAAGGTGGTTAAAACTAGGAAATGTAATAACTTAATTACCACCCGCACAAGAGACACAGTGATGGGTTTCACATAATGCCAAACACAAAAGAGAAAGGAAGTAAAGCAATGTTATGAAGGAATTGATCCTGTGAGGTCTAGGGAAGCAGTTCAAGCTGATCATCTGGCTGGACCTGAGGGTACGTTTTAAAATCCAGAATTTTGGAGAAGCTAGTCTTCAAGCAATTTCTGAATACTGCTTTTTTAATTGAGCTTCTGACAAATGCTGGTGGTAATAAGTCCAGAGTTTGTCAAAGATAATGTTTACTTCTGCGTCTTAAGTTTTAAGTTTTTCATCCATTCTCCAGTTCAACTTGGGGTTTGTGCAAGGACTTAAATTGTCTTCAGTCACATTTTCTCCATGCAGCCCTAAAACCATCTTGGTATACTGAGGGTTAGCCTACCATCTACATAACTCAGGTTTGCTTCATAATGCAATGGACACTTCTTTCCTACTCTCCCAATTACCTTCCCTCCAAGAGTGGATTAGGAATACTGGTTCAGGTGACACTTATCTAACTAGGGCTTTACGGGTCATACACTGCACAGATGCAGGAAGCAAAATTCACATCACAATCTTTATAAATAAGTGGCACCCCCATCAGTGCACAATGTATGCAGCCTTTTATACCAGCCCTGTATCTTACTTTTCAATACATTTCCGTGGGCAGAGCATCAGCTTATTACATACAAGTCTCAGAAAAGAGGCAAAAATGGCCTACAATGCTGAGAGGAATGCTACAGCTTTATTTAAAAAAAAAGATTCCCTATTAATTATAGCGAAAAGCTTTAGTAGCATAAGCATTCCTGTTTGTGCTACATGTATGTAGTTTAGTGCTGGGAATTAATAGGAGACTAGCATTCTTTGCTGGGCTATGAAATGAATGAGAAGTACCCAAGATCAGGGCTTGAGATGTGGCAAAATGCTATTCTAATCCCTTTGTAGAGTGGCTTAATTTCACTCTGCTGATTTGGAAAGGGATAAAAAGCCCTTTAATAACGTTCATGGGCTTCTGCTCACCAAACTCCATCTGAATTTTTAATTCTTCCCTCCCTCTCTTCTTTTCATTGGCTGAGGAGACATGGCAGCTCCTGATTCCAGCTCCATCTTCGATTGGAATAAATAAAGAGAAGTGCTTAGCTACATATGTCCGTTAGACATTTTTCTTAAGCTAAACGATAAAGCACCTGATCTTTCAACAGTGGAAAGATGACTGCTGCTAAAAATTACATACCTCATGAAATTCATTCACTGGAGTAAGATTTTATGATCTCTGGTTTCTTTTAGTCTGATATGAGAGATGCTGTGTGCAATAAAAAATGTCACATTCCGTCACCCAATGCTGGCAGTGGGACTGAAAACTTACGTCATGACTGGAGAGTCCAATCCATAAAGAAGAGTTATGAAGGACCGCCTGCACAGTCAGGAAGGCCTGCTGGTAAGGGTCTGTGATGCTCACCAGCTGCATGTTTTCTTGCTGGCACTCCTTTAGCGCATCAGTCCAAGTCAGAGTCTTCAGCATTATTTTGTACAGATTGTTTTGATATTTCATAGTTTCTGAAGTATTCTGCAAGGTCTGTCTGCTTTCAATTTCTGTGTGTAAAAGAAAAATAAAGCCACAAAAACCACCTACTTGGCAAGTGATGGGACATTTTTTCAAATTCCTCCCTGTAATAATGTACTTTAGGTATTACTTATCTATTCATTTATTTTAGACTTTGGGTGGGAGAACTAGGTATGTTTTGCTGTATACCTTAGGTAAATTTGTGAACCACAAATTTGTTTCTTACAATTAGAACAAAATTCTGATTTAGTTGATCTGATTTAGGAAGGAGAAAAGCTATCAATAAAAGTAGACTACTTCTAATGGCAATAAGATTACCATTTCAGATTGGTGTTGAATTCTTCCTTTGTTTGAACTCCTTCAACAAGAGGTGTTGGGTATCCCCTTACAAGTTTTCACCTGGGAGAACCCAGGAAAAAATGTATACAACCACCCCTAAGAGGATATATTTGAATTAGTGATTTACAGTACTTCTCTGAAAAAGGCAGTTACTAAAAATTATGAGACAAATGAGCAAAGATTAATTTAGCAAAAAGTTCTTCAGAAGCACATGGAGTACTCAGAAAACTATAAGACACTGATGAAAGAAATCAAAGATGAGACAAACAGATGGAGAGATATACCATGTTCTTGGATTAGTAGAATCAATATTGTGAAAATGATCACACTACCCAAAGCAATCTACAGATTCAATGCAATCCCTATCAAATTACCAATGGCATTTTTTACAGAACTAGAACAAAATATCTTAAAATTTGTATGGAGACACAAAAGACCCTGAATAGCCAAAGCAGTCTTGAGGGAAAAAAACTAAGCTGAAGGAATCAGACTCCCTGACTTCAGACTATACTACAAAGCTACAGTCATCAAGACAATATGGTACTGGCACAAAAACAAAAATATAGATCAATGGAACAGGATAGAAAACCCAGAGATAAACCCACGCACCCATGGTCAACTAATCTATGACAAAGGAGGCAAGGATACACAATGGAGAAAAGACAGTCTCTTCAATAAATGGTGCTGGGAAAACTGGACAGCTACATGTAAATGAACGAAATTAGAACACTCCCTAACACCATCCACAAAAATAAATTCAAAATGGATTAGAGACCTAAATGTAAGACCTGACACTATAAAACTCTTAGAGGAAAAGATAGGCAGAACACTCTATGACATAAATCACAGCAAGATCCTTTTTGACCCACCTCCTAGAGTAATGGAAATAAAAACAAAAATAAACAAATGGGACCTAAAGAAACTTAAAATCTTTTGCAAAGCAAAGGAAACTATAAACAAGATGAAAAGACAACCCTCAGAATGGGAGAAAATATTTGCAAATGAATCGATGGACAAAGGATTAATTTCCAAAATATATAAACAGCTCATGCAGCTCAATATTGAAAAAACAAACAACCCAATCAAAAAATGGGCGGAAGACCTAAATAGACATTTCTCCAAAGAAGACATACAGATGGCCAAGAAGCACATGAAAAGCTGCTCAACATCACTAATTATTAGAGAAATGCAAATCAAAACTACAATGAGGTATCACCTCCCACCGGTTAATCATCTGAAAATCTACAAACAACAAATGCTGGAGAGGGTGTGGAGAATAGGGAACCCTCTTGCACTGTTGGTGGGAATGTAAATTGATACAGCCACTGTGGAGAACAGTATGGAGTTTCCTTAAAAAACTAAAAATAGAATTACCATATGACCCAGCAATCCCACTACTGGGCATATCCCCTGAGAAAACCATAATTCAAAAAGAGGCATGTACCACAACGTTCACTGCAGCACTACTTACAAGAGCCAGGCCATGGAAGCAACCTAAATGCCCATCGACAGACAAATGGATAAAGAAGATGTGGTACATATATACAATGGAATATTACTCAGCCATAAAAAGGAATGAAACTGGGTCATTTGTAGAGACATGGATGGACCTAGAGACTGTCATACAGAGTGATGTAAGTCAGAAAAAGAAAAACAAATATCGTATATTAGTGCAAACGTGGAATCTAGAAAAATGGTACAGATGAACTGGTTTACAAGGCAGAAACAGAGACACAGATGTAGAGAACAAACGTATGAATTGGGAGATTGGGATTGACATATATACACTAATATGTATAAAATAGATAATAAGAACCTGCTGTATAAAAATAAAATAAAATAAAATAAAATAAAAACCCAGAAGCACATGGATTAGCTACTTGAAGTTCTCATTACATGGCAAAGGTTTTTTTTTTTTAATTGTTTGTTTAAAAACTTACTGTGACCAATGAAAACGATTTAATACCTTTAAAAAATATCTGTTTGAAAATATAGATGATTCCTACTTTTAAGTACACATTTTACTTTTATTTGGATTATAGGAGGGCACAGTGATCCATTTATAATGCTTCACATCCTTTTTTTTTTTGAGTGCTAAATTTAACCATGATTGTTTATACCGAACTCAGTTAAAAACATTTTTTTTCTCCTTTCCTCATGACAGTAAAATCTGAAAAATTCCAGAGTAGAAAGGAGAACAAAATGCAACCATAATTTACTGTCATTAGATAACACGGATTAACAAACTCCATTGGATATTTAATTTTGATATTTAATTATGGCCATGATCTTGAAAAAAAAATCACATTCTATTTGAGCTAATTTGACTCACTGAGCCAGTATGGATTTAGTCATGCTAAAATTTTAAGGAAGCTGTATGATTACAAATTAATATTAATTTATAAGATTTTTTTGTGAAAAAGTACTGTACATATCTAACAGCATAAAGTACCATAGTTATCTAAATAATAATCTATACCTGAATATTTCTGACAGAGAGACAGAGTATGGTGTTCACTGCAGGAAGTAAAATTCCACGTCCCAGTAAAAGGTGACTTTTGAAGGTTGAGCATTAGAGCACAGTGGTAGGACAGCTCTTCATCAAAAATCTAAACAAAAAGGCAAATATGTACAAGCAATTATGAAACTAACAGTCTGAAGATCCCAGCAACGGAACTTTATATTCCAAATTGGATTCTTCTTCCTGTAAAAAAATCCATTAAGGAGCTGACCATGAAATCACTAAGAAAATCCTGATGAACTTTCTTTTCTTTTTTTTAACATCTTTATTGGAGCATAATTGCTTTACCATGGTGTGTTAGTTTCTGCTTTATAACAAAGTGAATCAGTTATACATATACATATGTTTCCATATCTCTTCCCTCTTGTGTCTCCCTCCCTCCCACCCTCCCTATCCCACCCCTCTAGGTGGTCACAAAGCACCGAGCTGATCTCCCTGTGCTCTGCGGCTGCTTCCCACTAGCTATCTATTTTACATTTGGTAGTGTATATATGTCCATGCCACTCTCTTACTTTGTCACAGCTTACCCTTCCCCCTCCCCATATCCTCAAGTCCATTCTCTAGTAGGTCTGTGTCTTCTGATAAACTTTCAAAACATGGGAAAGGGCAATTAACTTTAGAAATTATAGAACAAAATAGTGGCAATATTGATGAATACATCTTCAAAACATAAAGAAAAACTGTTAGAAGACAAATACACAATTATAATAATATTTAACACTCTGCTCTCCTTCTTGACGTTGCAAGTAAGTAAAAAAGTAATGACTGTTAATTCAACTCATTAGATGTTTATAAACTTTTTATAATGACAAATGGTGTACCACACAATAGAGAACTCACCTTAAAGCTTTGATCCTATACTTGTCACTATAAAACATCCATAAATAAAAGTATCTATCTAGATTTCATTCTCTAACCACAAATCAATAGCATTAGACATGGAAATTTATTCAAAGTATATTGTCCCTATACTTTTCTGTATGTTTGAAACATATCACACTCAGAAAAATAAGAAAAGTAAGCTTATCCCAGGAGCTACAAAAGTTTTAAAAAAACTGCATACTCCCATGCTATTCAATAAACATTAAAACAAAAATGAAAAAATTATAGGAAAGACTAATATGAGAAATATTACAAGAGATATGAGTAAAACTTTATGTGAAGGCAAACATGTATTATTAAATGCATTCTGATTTTTAAAGGAAAGATGAACTAAGAATTCAATATGAGATTAGAAAATCAGCAAAAATGTAACTCCAAGAAAAACAGCGTAGAAAAGTGTAGTAGTATTTGTATATCTCAAGCAATAGGAGTAGGCGGTGGAGAAAGGGGAGGAAAAAACCAGTAACATACACTAGTTTTTGTAAAAATCTAAATAAGAAAAAGTAAAAACGATTAAAATAAGACATGGAGATTTTAAAAGATAATAGCAGACACGACTTTATTCTAATACATTTGAATATCTACATGAAATAGACAACTTCCTTGAAATATACAAATTAGCATAACTGTTATAAGGAAAAGTAGAAACACTAAAATGTACCAGTAACTTTAGAGGAAATTGAAAATTAATAATAATGCTCACTTTTAAAACTATATGTCAGGTACTGTGCTTAAAAGCTTTAAATGAAATATTTTATGCAATCCTCACATTATGTTGTAGGAACAACAGTATCAGAACTTACAGATGAAAAAATGAGACTTAAGCAAAGTTAAGTGAACTTCCTAAGGCATACGAAATGGCTGAATGGAATTCAAACTCAATCTGACTCTAGAGTTTAGCCCTCACCTACTACACCAAATCCCTTTAGTATTAAACAATGATCGCTGAACAGGGTTCTAATATCACATGGCTTTGTATACAGTTCCTTCAAACTTTCAGGGAAAGATAATTCCCCAGACTGAGTCATAATTTCAAAACACAAAGGCAGAAAACTACCCAGTTCATCTTATGAAGCTGACATGATCAGAAAAAAAAAAAGCTTAAAAAAATTAACTCTATGAACAGAGATGAAAACATTCCCAAATAAAATTCTAACAAATCTAATTCAGTAGTAAAATAATAACCCACTCTCAGCAACTAGATTTTATGATAAGAAGATAAAAATGGTTTACTATAACATCTGTTAATGTATTATACTACATATCCATTGGCCTAATGGGAAAAACTGTATGACAATTTCAATAGACGGTGAAAACAAGTTTTAGAAAATCCACTACTTATTCCTGAATAAAAATTCTAAATAAATGATATATCTTAAACAAAAAGTCCACATCAAATATAATAATGGGGCTTCCCTGGTGGCGCAGTGGTTGAGAGTCCGCCTGCCGATGCAGGGGACACGGGTTCGTGCCCCGGTCCGGAAAGATCCCACATGCCGCGGAGTGGCTGGGCCCGTGAGCCATGGCCGCTGAGCCTGCACGTCCGGAGCCTGTGCTCCGCAACGGGAGAGGCCACGACAGTGAGAGGCCCGCGTACCGCAAAAAACAAAACAAAACAAAACAAAACAAATATAATAATGAAAGACTGCAGATATTCCCGTTAAAGTCTAGATCAAGTTTAGGATGTTATTTATTACTCCTGGTATTTACCATGGTTCTGGAAGTCCTACCACATGTAGTGAAGCATGAATGGTTATTTGCCAATTATGATTATCTAATTAGAAAACCCAAGAAAATCTACTGAAAAACTCTGAGAAGTAATAAGAGCTTTTAGTAAGATGGATGCCTATGAAATAAATATACAAAAATACCCAAATAATAGATTTCCTACATATCAGTAAGACAGTTTTAAAAAGCTGCCATTCTCAATGGCAAAAAGAAAGAGAACTTCTCTAAAAACTTCACTGAGGAATTTAAAAGGAAGACTTGAATCAATGGAGAGATATGTTACACCATATTCTTGAGGGAAAATTAATAAAAAGATGTTAATTCTTCCTAAAATGTTGTCAAATTCTTACCAGAAGTTTTCTATTGAATTGTTTAGATTGGAAATTAACTAAATAATTCTAGTTTGTCTTGAAGAATAGACAAACACAGCTAAAAATATTTTTAAAAGACATACAGTAAAGGATAACTAATCCTATTATATTTTTTGAAATATGGCAACATTATAGTATTTAGATCAGTGTGGGAGCTATACAAGAATATGTCTCATATACACACACATACATACACATGCACACTTCACATATGATAAAAAAGGCATTCTATATTGATTTTAACAGATGTAAGTATATACAACAAATGATGCTAGACAATTGGCCAGGATTAGGGAAAAGGATTAAGTAACCATTGACCACATATGCCATATACCATGGATGTATCATACTGTCAGAACAAAAAAGCAAGCTATAAAACAAAATGAAGAAAATAAAGGCATTCATTTAACTAACATTTACATGAGGGACTTTCTAACCTAAAAGCAATGGAGGGGAAAAAAAGAAATAGAGTTGAACACATACCAAAAAAATCAAAACTTATTTCTGTAATATTTTTGGTATTAGACCTAAAGAAAAAAAAAACCTGTGAAAATATCTGCAATAAATGCAAGAAACACAGGGTTAGCACACTTAATATTTACACAGTCATAAAATCAATAAGAAATGCATGAAGGCTTTGATAAATTGTCAAAGAATAAGAAATTCACATTGGATGAAATTTAAATTATTACTGAATTTATATGTTTTCATTAGAAATCAGAGCAATACAAATGAAAATATGATATCATTTAAACTATCAAATTAGCAAGAATTTTTAAAAGATAATTCTCCTTAGAGCATTGTAGTAGAGGCAATGCAGTAGAGAAGCTAAGAATGCTGACTCTGCAGACTTGAATTTAAATGCCAACCCTGCACGCATACCCTGCATGATTTCTGGCAAGTTACATGACTCTCTCTGTCTCCACATTTCTAAGATAGGAGAGGAGCACAGACTGTTTCACATCTATTGTGCAGATTAAATGAAATAATGCATGTGATGCATTAGCAGAGTGTCTGACACATATTAGCTGCTCAATAAATGTTGGAAATTATTAATACACTGGTATGAATAGAAAAGTAATCACAGTATATTGCTGACAAAAATATAAACTCATAAACCTTTCTGGAAACCAATTTGGTAACCAGAGTTTTACAACTACTTGTATTTTTTGATCTGGCTATATCACTTCCTAAATCTATCTTAGGGAGGTAACCTGAAATATACAGCAAAGATTATTCATGAAGATGTTAATTGCAACACTATTAAGGATTATGCAAAACTGGAAACAGCCAAAATACCCAGCATTGTTTAGGTAAATGATGGTATATCTATCAAGAAATATGTGTAACCATCAAAATGCTTATCAAGCACATCTTTTAATGGCATAAGAAACTACTTATGATATAATACTAAGTGAGAAAAGTAGATACAACAGTATATATACTATGATCTTATCTATGTCAAGAAGACAATGTATAGAAAAGCCCTAGAAGAAAAATGCTGAAATATTCATTGTGATTTCCTAGATCAGGATTCAAATATGGTTTGAGACTTATTTAGTAGTTCATGAAATCAGTTCAGTGGATCTTGATTCTTATTTGTGATAATGAAATAGAATAGGATAGAACACAGAGAATAGGTTGACTAGACCAGACTAGATCAGACTAGAGTAGAATAGAATAGAAACAGAAAGAAATATAAGCTCTAAGGGTAAGTATTATTTCCTGAAACTTTTGTTTCAATTCAATATTATATACATATATATATTTTTTAATATTTATTTATTTACTTTTGACTGCATTGGGGCTTCGTTGCTGCGTGTGGGCTTTCTATAGTTACGGTGAGGGGGGGACTACTTTTCGCTGGGGTGCGTGGGCTTCTCATTGCGGTGGCCTCTCCTGCTGCAGAGCACGGGCTCTAGCCATGCGGGCTTCAGTAGTTTTGGCATGCGGGCTCAGTAGTCGTGGCTCGCGGGCTCCAGAGCACAGGCTCAGCAGCTGTGGAGCACAGGCTCAGTTGCTCCGCAGCATGTGGGATCTTCCCAGACCAGGGTCGAACCCGTGTCCCCTGCATTGGCAGGCGGACTCCCAACCACTGTGCCACCAGGGAAGTCCCAATATTATATTTATATCTATGTGCTGAATGGTAATTTAAATTTATTTCTTACTATGGGTCATGAGTTAAAAGTTTAAAAGCTACCAGCCTAAGTATAAGCAGGATAAGGATTGATATTTTTCTTTATTTTGTTTACTCTTCTGTAACTTCCAAATGTTCTACAATAACCAAGCATTATTTTGATATTTACTTTGTACATAATTACACATGTTGCAGAGTTCCCTTTGCCACTAACATCAATGTTGAGCAAAGTTCCATTGCATCAAGAATATCAGTTGATGTTGTCTAGGATGTACTTTTGGAATTCAACTTTAAAGTGAATCTCTTAATCTTTGCCTTTTGTGCAAAAGGTGGTTTGTATCCAGTAAAGAAGGAAGACAGAAGCAGTGGGCAGCAATATCATGGTACAGGGTAACTACTGTTAATATAATGCCTTCTTCCATTCTATAGCTTCTTTACATTTAGATCTTAGGGGAAAATGATCACTAACCACAGATTTTGTACTTTTTAACCTCAGGAGACTGAGGCTGACAGCTCCAAATTCCAAGATGATAAGTAAAGCATTTATATTAGCTTTTATTTGCAACTCACTATTGATGGTTTTACATGGTTATGAAATAAGTGCTATGGAATCTGATACTACTAGGAAAAACTAGGGCATCTACGTGAAGGCTGTGGAAGCTCTTTCTTATTCTTCTTGTGACAGCATTATTGATATAATTCATAGATGGTATAATTCATTCATTTAAAGCATATATTCTATAGTTTTTAGTATATTCACAGAGTTGTGCAACCATCACCCCTAATCAATTTTAGAACATTTTCACCACCCCAGAAAGAAATCCCATATGCTTTAGGCCATCACCACCAATTCTTCTAGCCTCTTAGCCTCTGGCAACCAGTAATCTACTTTCTATCTTTATAGACTTGCCTATTTGGACGTTTCATATAAGTCGACTCATGAAATAGGCCCTTGTTCTTAATCCAATAATTTGTGGAAGACTCAGGTATTTCATAGAGCTACATAGTTTACTGATTAAAAAAAAACAACCTTACATTTGTTGGTATTCTCAGCCTCCGACCAACCAATAATGGGTGAAAGTTACTGTATGTCAGTTCTCTGTTATCCATCCATTTGTTTATCTTCTCATAGGCAGTCCAGCGCAAACCAATCCATAAAGTAGCTTCCATATCCGGAAGCAAGGATGTAATAAAATCTGTCAGAAAGATTTAAAAAAAAAAATTTGACTTATTCAAATTAAAGATATACTAAAAATGTCAATGAATACCTCTTGCTTATCTAACTACCAGGATAATCTTTCACCTACTCTGTAAAAAGTAATTTAGTAAGATTCTTTGTATGTGTTAATTCCCCACAGCCTCCCAACACAAACAAGGCCTCCAGATCAGAATAAAACATGTTTACGAAACAATTCTGCTACCTTGCTCTCTCTGGCTCAGCACTGAAGGAAGGGTTCCACCATAGGTGTGACAAACATCGCTGGCTTCAGAAAATGTAAGAGACCTAGGTTTGATCCTTAAAAAGCACTGCAAACAAATAACACATATGAAGTATAAGATTCCACACATGGGAAAGCTCACATAGGAAGAAAATGTCTCATCTTTTAGAAGGCTGCTAATTTTCTGTTTGTGAGATACAGACACTCACAAAGTAGTACCAAAAGAATGCAGATCTACACTCTTTGTTTTTGAAAGATTTATTTATTATTTATTTTATTTCTTATTTTTGGCTGTGTCGGGTCTTAGTTGCGGCACGCGGGCTCTTCGTTGCGGCACTCAGGCTTCTCTCCAGCTGTGTCGTGTGGGCTCCAGGGTGCGTGGGCTCTGTAGTTTGTGGCACATGGGCTCTAGTTGAGGCACGTGGGCTCAGTAGTTGTGGCGCGCGGGCTCAGTTGCCCCTGTGGCATGTGGGATCTGAGTTCCCTGACAAGGGAGTGAACCCATGTCACCTGAATCGTAAGGTGGATTCTTTACCACTGGACCACCAGGGAAGTCCCAAGAATGCAACTCCACACTTAATTTAAGCAACTGAAGAGTAGTCCTTGAGCTACTTTTTAAAAAAATCTCCCATTTATTGAGTGCTTCCTTCCTGAAACACTTTGCACAGTATTATCTCATTTAATTCTCACAACAAATGGGAAAACTGAGGCACAAGGACATTAAGTAACTTTACCCATAAGTGAAATAGCCATAGCATGGTATGGTCAGCATTTAGACTCTGCTCCATTTGGTTTCAAATATGTATTCTTCATCATTACCTTATATTAAAAAACCACATTTTTAAAGAAATCATGCCCCTGTCTCTTGACAGAATATTTTAATGGGGTGAAGGGGATTAAGAGATACAAACTCACAGTTATAAAATAAATAAGTCACAGGGATGTAATGCATAGCAAAGGGAATATAGTCAGTAATTTTATAATAACTTTGTATGGTGTGTAATCTATAGAAATATCAGATCACTATGTTGTACACCTGAAACTAATATATTTTCATTCAACTATACTTCAATAAAAACAAACAAAAAAACATAAATTTACATCAACTATGTAAATTAATCTAGTACTTTGGGGGGGAAAAAGATTGTGCAAATTTTAAAGTCAAAATATATCCCTAATATTTTAACTTTACTACAGATGCTTTCAGCTGTCAGACACATCTCTTCCATTTTCTTCTTGATATTATGATCATGTTAGTGTGGAGTAGCATGTCTCAAATTGTGTTCCTTGAAACATGCTATAAAATGTTTTTTTTTTTTTCCATCCTCCTTACAGACTGGAATGGCCAGAGAAATATAAAGTCACTGGGTGGCTTCTAGAAAAGACTCTAGAGAGAACACCCTGAACTTGAGCTTGGAAGCCATAAGTTAAGGATGGCAGAGCAGAAAGACAAAGGAAGCCTGGTTTTGAAGACCACAGAGCTTTCATACCAACCCCAGCCTGCTTATCTTCAAACTTCTTTTATCTGAGAGAATAAATGTTTTAGCATACTATAGTAATCTCTCTTTTTAGCAGCCAAATGCATTTCCTAAGAGATACATACACCAATATGAATTGTGCATCTCAAGGAAGCAAATATAGAATGTGGCATTTCCCAAAGCTATTTAATCGTGAACCCTGCTCTGGAAGCAACATCAATGATTAACATTCTGTTAGCTTATGTGTATATTCCCAAAAAGTAGTTTGGGAAATGCTGGTCTAATTTGATTGGTAAATGCTGCTTGGATGTCTTCCTTAAGGGGGAAAATTTATCAGCCAGAAATTAAGCCAGTTTCCTACATGCCAAAGAGATAGTCCTGACTAGTCAATATATTACTATTCACTGAAAGATCAACTTTGGCAGTTTAAGTGTCAGTAGCAACAGAACAGGAACACAGTACTCTGAAAGACCTGTACGCGTGATTAACTTGAGAGTTAACTTGGTTTCTGAAAATGTAGAGAATCAGGTGAGATACTGAAATATGCAGAGTCTATCTTAGTGAAGTTACTTGGTGGGATGCCATTCTGCCACAGGCCATATGACCATCATGAAAGCAATCATCATTTGCACAACGTAGCAATTCTCTTTTTACCTTATTCTGAAAAGTAATCCAATCCCCAGAGCACTGTATTTTAGCGGCAGAATCTGGACTATATTTCTCTAATGAAGATACATTGTATTTTTCACAGACGAAGGGCAACTTGGTACTGCAGTCTGCTGGTTTACTTAAGTCTGAGAAATGAAAAGCAGGATTACTGTGGTGACAATTTTCCATTCAGCACATTTTAAAACCATCCAGTAGTAAAGAAAGTCTGCTTAAATCAATCTTTCCCAAATGGTTAAAATATATTCCTTTTCTTCCCTAGCTATTTTTGTCTTCTATTGTTATTACTCATATCAGTAAGTTGTGGCATACAAATGTTGCCTATAAAAATGAACATACTTGGGGGCTTCCCTGGTGGCGCAGTGGTTGAGAGTCGGCCTGCCGATGCAGGGGACGTGGGTTCGTGCCCCGGTCCGGGAGGATCCCGCATGCCGCGGAGCGGCTAGGCCCGTGAGCCATGGCCGCTGAGCCTGTGCGTCCGGAGCCTGTGCTCCGCAACGGGAGAGGCCACAACAGTGAGAGGCCCGCGTACCGCAAAAAAAAAAAAAAAAAAAATGAACATACTTGGTACACACACAGTTACTATGGTTCCTGATGGCAGGAAATAGAGTTGAAGAAGGCTAATGGGGGGGAAAGGGACCTAAACTATACTTTAGAATTGCTGCCTGTTCACCTTTGTGAATTTGTCTATATCCTTATTGGTTATGAAAGTGGTCAGTTTATTTCTAAGTAACTGCTTTAGGATAAAGGAAGTCAAAATATTCCCAGTGAAAAGCACCTTTATTTGCATTTGGAACTTGATCTACTGTCATCAGCAATAAATCAGAATATGACGAAGCTACCAAACATATAATCAAAAGGAAAGCAAGATTAAGCTAGTAATTGAACCTGAAGTTCACATATTACATAATTAACGTTAAAGGATTTGGAATTAACCTTACCGCTAAACCAAGTCTTGGCAGAGAGGTAAAAGCATTCCTCTCCAAATGTTATAGGAAAGTGATGAAATGGATGTCGTGAGCTGAAAGAAAATGAGAGATGTGTCAGCTCATAATGTAGTTACATGTTCCATTCTGTTTTTTACTGAAGTAATTTTAATTCTAAATTTAATGTTAGGCCATTATTTTATACTACTTTTCCTTGATGCTCATTTGCTAAAGGATTTGGTTTCTCTAGTCTAGGTAGTTTATGGATTAATGTTCAAAACTAATTATAAACAGTACTCCATTTAGTAAAAAGGGATTTGGGACTGCTTCTTTTAAACGATAACTTTACAAAGGCACCACCAAGGATGTCACATACCTCATAAAATGACGTTCTATTAGCTGGTCAGTAGTTCTCACCCACCATTTCTCCTCATCACCAGATATCTGAAAAAAAAACCCCACAAAAACAAAACAAAACAAAAAACAACTAAACACCCATCCTTATATGTGCTGACTTTTCTAGAAGAGTTTTGATTTAATACCCTGGCCCATCATAACCACAAACCACTATAATTTCCAGATATTCATTACTTTGGTCTCTAAATCACATAAACCAGGTCCTTTCACCAAAAAAAGTAGTTGAGAAACTCTTTTTATATTCACAGGCCCTATTTTGCATACGGAAAATATGGTCACTGTAATTATGGGCATATATTAATTGGACATATAGTATCCTATTGCTACTAGTTATAAATTTTAAAATATACAAATTATTTTTCCTCCAAAAAACTATTTTGCAAAGTTAGTTATTATTAGAAACAGAATCTCAAGTTAACTACCAAGTTAACTTTTAGTAAAAAACGTGACAAGGAATTAGACTGATTCATATTATCTATTGAAGCTCATCTTACCAACTGACATTAATAATTAATCTTGAATGTTTAAAAACATTAAGCAATTCTTTTCAACTTTTCTAACATGAAGTGATGAACTTATATGTTGTTAGGCAAATTTTACTTGAGAGGAACATTTAACTTTTGTAGATTTTTGAAATTTTTGTAACAGAATAAAGGTAAAAATAAGAAAATATTAAAAAATACGTTCTTTTAAATTACATTTGCTATTTTGTTTTTGATGGCTCTTAGTCCTGCAAAAGATGTTAAACTAGCCAGAGAGCTGTGATTGCTAGCACAATACAGGACGGCTTCTTCATAGTTTAAACGGGGATCAGCAACAAACCAATATTCACTCCCTTCTATCACAACTGGAGGTCCATGAATTCCAGCACGCTCTAAAGAAGAAGAAAAATAGCACAATTATGACTGCATAAACCAAACTGCACCCTCTCAGCATGGATTATTTTTCAAAACTATTTATAAATAATAATCCATTTAGATTACTGGCTCTCTTTGGCCAGGGCAGTGCTGCCTGGAAGGATCCAACCAAGGATTCCTGAGCCAGGGAGTGACTCTGTTACCCTCCTGTTCTCACAGAGAAGGATAAATCCAGCCTCAGAGTCTCACCCCACACCAGCTAATCACCTTCCCTGCATGGAGATACCTCATCTCATTTGAAGACATGACAGAGAAGAAGCTGGCACTTAGGCCTGGGCTTAAATAATTAACTAAATACGTCACTGAAAAGGTAAAAGCAGCTTTGGATAAATTTTAGTTTTCTTAACTCACCTGGATTGTACCAGTCTGGCATTTTTGGAGTACGACCTGTATAAGAAAGCAAATGGTTTAAGTTTAGTATCCAATTACAGACCACGGCGTACTAATAAGTGCCTTTAGTCTAACTCAAGAGGACTTGCAGTATGGCTGAGATTTGTCCATTTCTGGCCAAACTATCTCCTTTCATGTTATGATCACTTCATAACACTGAATTTTGTGGGGCCCACACTAAAGCTGTTTTTGTGGCAACCAAAAAGGCAGATTTATTCAATATTAATACAGCATTACTAGCAGTTCTCTACCTTACATCACAGAAGTCACAAAGGAAGACTAGATGGATAAAATATAGATAATAATTAGAAAGTACAAATAAGTAAATGAATACATTGTATACATTACATAGAAGCACTAAGGAATATGCACCAAGATAATCATCACTGTAGGATGAGGTTATTCAGGAACCACGTCTCCATCTAATGCAATTTGAATACACCTAGGTTGGTAGAGTTTATTGCCTCCCAAGAGATGCTTGGAAAAAAATGTTCAGTGATCCAGTACTGAAACTTCTGGGAAAATGAGAGACAAAACTGGGAAGAAAATAATAAAATTCACCCAGCAGGAAATATGGTGCCGTACAAAGAATTATGGTCTTTGAAGTTGGGTGAGTCAGTGCCTAAATGCCCTCAGACTCTTTGCTGCTGTGCTACTTGGGATCAGTTCTTTAACTCCCTGAGCCCCAACTTTCTATTCTATAAAAATGAAACTCTCCTACCTAACTCACAAAGACAGTGTAAAGATCATATAAGATCACCCCTATGCAAGCACCCCGCACAGGGCCAGGCACAGAACAGTTCCTCTCAGGATGCTAGCTGCTTTCCCCTCCCTTTTTATTCTGGTCATAGGTCACACTGGCTTCAAGCCAAAGACATAATCTGAGGAATTTTAGAAATTACAGGGTAAAATAGCTGTTCTTAATTTTGCTATTGTATCAGGGCCAAGGCACGAGAGGACCCTACTCCGAGGACTGCCTATATATCCAGCATCTGTGGTTTTTCTCTCTAACTCAGTCCTCTGTATGTTGGATAATTTCCATTAACAATGCTGTAAATCAGTTAAAAAAAATAGACATAGTTTCTAGTTTGTAATCTTGTCAAAGAATTCTGTTCATTTGTATGTTGGGGGAAAGCTATGGCTAACCTTTAAATTTCTTTAAATTAGTGAGAAAAGCAAAATAAAAGGTGCCTTTTTACACAGAATTACAAACATGTGTGTGTGTGTACAAGGTATCAAGAAACACAATATTAAAAAGTTGTGTTTATAGGTCATTTTCCTAAAAACACTTTTATGAACCTTATTTTTGCTACTGTTTTCGCAACTAAAAAGGAATATTTAAAAAGTATATATATCCATAGTGATTATGATAATTAAAAAAAATTAGGTTGTCAAAATATCCCTTTTAGAGAGGAGGGGACTAATTAGAACCAGCTGTATGCGGTAATAAAAAGGCAAGAGCTAGAGAAAAGGTTTGGTGATTTGGGCTATTGAAGAGGTAAACTGCTTTAAGAAAAGCAGAAAACACAGATTAATACAGAAGTGTCCAGTTGAGCAGGCTTTGGCTGTCCTAATAGCCAAGAAAATATCCAACCAGTGAATGTGACACATTGTAACTCAGAAATTTAGGGACTGTCAAAGGGGAGTTAATGTAACATTTAAACCCTGGATCAAACCATCACTGATTGCTTCAAATGACTGCAAATAGGCTGAGGCAGGAAGTTCTTTAGTTTTTAATTTTGTTTCTGTATTGGAGACAGCAGGGGTGCAATTATTTAAAAGATTTATTTATTTGGTTACCTGATTTATGTTTGCTAAGGTAGTTAATTCCCTTCTCTTTTGTTTAAAATAACAAATACATTAAAAAGAAAAAAGAAAACCATATGTTCTTCATAATATTTCCTGTGGTTACTGGTTTGTCATTTCTAAGGTTTTCCTGGTGTATGCTCTAGGGTCTGCCTCAGTACTCAAACATGAGGCAGGGGAACAGCTACCAGTGACAGCATACTTTGGAGGGAGCAGTGACACTCTCTGTGGCATGCCAAATACCAAAGAATAATAGGAGTGTCACAACTAATGCTTCAAGACAGAGATATTGTCCAAGTTAATTATATATTAGTTACTTCACCACTTGTTTGAAAGGTATCCAAGCTGGTTTTCCTTTTTTCTTCTTTCAGGTTTAATCAATAATCAGGACTAACTCAGGTATAATTTCTCCTTTAGAAAACCCCCATCAGGGACTTCCCTGGTGGCGCAGTGGTTCACAATCCGCCTGCCAATGCAGGGGACACGGGTTCAAGCCCTGGTCTGGGAAGATCCCACACGCCGCAGAGCAGCTAAGCCCACGCGCCACAACTACTGAGCCTGTGCCCTAGAGCCCATGAGCCACAACTACTGAGCCCGTGACAACTACTGAAGCCTGCGCACCTAGAGTCCATGATCCACAACAAGAGAAGCCACCGCAATGAGAAGCCCACACACTGCAGTGAAGAACAGTCCCCGCTCACTGCAACTAGAGAAAGCCCACATGCAGCACCAAAGACCCAACGCAGCCAAAAATAAATAAATAAATTTATATAAATAAATAAATAAAAATAAATTCCACACACACAAAAAAGAAAAACCCCATCAACACACACACACACACACAACTCCCCTTTTATTAATGACCCCCCAGTTTGCCCTGTGAAAGAGACTTGCCAGTTACTGCACTGGATGTTGCATCTGAAGCTCTTTTAAAGGCAAGATGGTAGCCTTGTTTAGGAAAGAAGAACAATCTTCTAATGGGCAGTTCCATGAGATAATCTTTGGGTTTTTGAGAACTTATACGAGGAATTCCCTTTAGTTTCAATGATCTGTTTACATTCAGTTCAGAAATTCATTTTGGAACTTTCTGTGCATTTACCATTATATTAATGAATTTAACGTATCTAATATCTGCTTAAAAATAATTTGGGAGTTAAAATCTTCTTAACATTTTCTGTAATATATCCTTGACATTTTCCTACTAAAAAGTGAAGTAAAAGGATATCTATTTATTATCCTTTCTCTCTTTTTTGTTACAAAAGGCTCTACTATCAAGCTAACTGGTTTCCTGAATTTATTTTTTCTTTTCTTTTCTTTTTTTTTTTTTTTGTGGTACGTGAGCCTCTCACTGTTGTGGCTTCTCATGTTGCGGAGCACAGGCTCTGGACGCGCAGGCTCAGTGGCCATGGCTCACGGGCCTAGCCGCTCCGCGGCATGTGGGATCTTCCCGGACCGGGGCATGAACCCGTGTCTCCTGCATCGGCAGGCGGACTCTCAACCACTGCGCCACCAGGGAAGCCCAGTTTCCTGAATTTGAATGAGATAAACTATTAGTAATTTTGAGCTCACTGAAAACTGTTTCTAAATTGTAAAATTTAGATTTGGGACCTGCCCACATTTGATTTCCTGACTTTTGCTTCATTCTTCCCAAGTCTGTCTTCATTTCGTCCTTCATTTTGCAACAAAATAAAAATGAAAATGATTCCCTCTACTTCGTCTCTCCTTTCACTTGAAATAACCCTTCATTCCAAGACCTAATCTCCTTAAATTAGCCTTAAATTTTATCTCCTATACAAATTCTTTCATGACAAAAGAGGAATGCTGCCTTTCAATAAGGCAGCATTTTACTAGGGGTAGGAGTCAGGCAGGATGGAGCTTAATATATTAACTGTAGTGTCAAAGGCTTTTAAAATTATAATTATACACTAAAATGCCCTTTTAGGTACTTTGGCTCAGCATTCACAAGTTCACATGAGAAGACTGTGAAAAGGAATAACTACATTTACCTTTTGGAATCTGGCACATCCATTCAAGTTTTGTATCACAAGCAAAAGGCCTTAAATAAATAAATTCTCTGTCATCATAGAAATGCCACCTTCTTCGCCATGGCCTATTAATGACCTAAAGGAGGAAGAGGATTGTAGAATATTTTCAAGTTGATGCAGCCCTTATACAACACTAAACTGTAAGCCCTATGGTCTTTAACTCTGCTTTAGCTCTAGCACCTAGGATATATGTTTATGAATGAACACATGAAAGAATGCAGTGTTTAAGCAGTAACAGTCTAAGCAAGAGCCTTCAAAGGGACTGATAAAGAAAATATAGCATAGGGTCATGTTTATGTCCAAAATGCAAATTACTGGGGTTTTTTTTCTGTTTTTTGTTGATATGAAATTGTAGAATCTTGCAACTTTAAATTTTGGAAAGATCAAGCTAGAAAAGAATATTTGGTTCAGTGGTTTCCAAACACCAGCCTGTGATCATAGCAGATCTGTGAAAAGTGACATAAGAGTCTGGCATCAGGGGCCCAAGTTCCACCTTTGGCATTGCTTTGTGTTTCTGGGATACTGCCCTCCTCTGTGTGGTCTAAGATGGCTCTCTACAAATTCCAGGCAGCAAGCAACAGGGAAAGGAAAGGGGAGGACAGGACCTGGTAGGAGCATCCATCAGTTTTTGGACTGCTATCTCTTAAGGGCAACATTCTGGAGGGTTAGAAGGTGGCAGGTGAGGTAAGATTCTCCTTCCAGACACTGCCCTAGCTGGCCTTGTTACTGATCAGTGTCTCTTCTGTTTAGTTTTTTTGGTAGGTTCTTCCAATCTTTTCACACATAGGGACACAACTTACACAGAATGTAGTTTATTGCATCAGTGTTCTGGAAACTTCACAAACTTCTATTAAGTTTTCATTCTTTCATGTGTTAAACTGGGAATTCTATAAAAACAGTATGATGCTACAGAGTGTTTTACTAAAACAGTTACTTTGAAATGATGCTTTGCAATGGCCTTCTCAGTACTTGGTCTCAACCTTCGTGCAACATTTCTGGTCAATCACCTTCCTGAATCTCTTTCTTGGGCTTACATAGCAAAGATATTTTCTAGATGTCTCCTCCCTCCTCATCCTCTTCCATTTTATAAAATGTTGGTAATCACCCCAAATCCACTTCCTGGCCCTTTGCGATTTTTTTTTTTTCTTTTTTTGGCCACGCTGCGTGGCTTGTGCGATCTCAGTTCCCTGACCAGGGACTGAGCCTGGGCCCTGGCAGTAAAAGCCTGGAATCCTAACCACTAGGCCACTAGAGAACTCTTTCTTTAATGAACATTTTCCTTCAACTCCAGTTTCTTTATTCTAACTTACTACAGCATATTTCTTACTGCAAGCCTGGATTCAAAACATCAGTTAAACTAAAATGTACTACTATTTTCTCCATAAACAAATACCCCTTCTGACTGTTTCTGTAAATGCCATACATAGCATAGTAGACCCATACACCTGGGTTTAAATTTCAGTTCTGTAATCATGTAAGTTACTCAGAGCTCACATTTCTTCCCCGTGAGATGGATACAGTAACAGTACCTATCTGACAAGGTTGCTTAAGTATTTAGTGAGATAATATATGTGACATGACTGTGCCTGGCTCATGAGTCAACAAGTGTTAGCTTCTGTATCATAACCATCATCACCGTCATTGTTACTCTCCTGGAACACTCTTGTTCTTGCATAAAACTTACACTTTGTCTGTCATAGCCCTTGTAATTGCTCTTTTACTTGTCTTTACCTCCTACGAGACTGTAAGTTCTGTGAAGACAACAACTGTTTTATATCTTGTCATTGTTGACCCCCCAGAGCATCACAGACTGCTTGGACATACTACTTATGGAACGAATAAACAAATGAAGTCTGCAAAGGAAGAGGTCTAACTGGTCTTCCATGTCTTCTGGTCCTATCTTTTGCATCTTGAAATCTGTCTCAAGATGAATCTTCTCACACCCTCTGTAGTTCTTGACAAAAACCGTTAATCATGCTCTGTTGCCTACCAAAAAAATGCACAAACTCCTTAACCTGGCATCGGTCTAACTTCCCACCTTTGTTTTCAACCACAGCACCAACTAAAAGTTCTTAGTCTGCATTGCTCCCCTCACTGCCTTAGCCTCTCCCTTCCACTCCCACTTTCTTTTATGCCTTACCCTATCCTACCTGTACAAACTCTATCTATCCTTAAAGGTCCAATTGAGGTCCCACCTCTTTCTGGAAATAGGCAATAGAAATCACTTCCTCTTCTGAGTTTCATTAGCCCTCCTCAGCCCACTCATTTGGAGCTTATTACTGCATAGTAACAAGAGTCGTCCTTCTTGAATATGAATTTTATCTTCTCAAATTAAGTGTCAGTTAGGTTGCTTGAGGGCTGGGCCATGGGTGTACTTCTAACTTCCCATTGCACCTAATATCATGCTCCACATGCAAACGGCACTTCATGGATCTGTTGCCTGACTGCACATACTGCCAGATTTATTTTTTAAATATGCAGATTTTCCAGCATTGTACTGACCTTGACAGCAGCACAGTCTCTGATATCATAATCCTGCTGA